AAAAAAAAAAAAAAAAAAAAAAAAAAAAATTGCATGATAGTGTGTACATATGCACTTTAAAAATACCATCATATTTTTACTAAATTATAGAAGTTTCATCGCATAAACAGTCTAAAGTTCACAAATTTTTACATGAGCATATGCACATAAATAAACCATACTTTTACGAAATTATAAAATTGTCAACAACTCAAATTTAAATATTCACAAATGTATCACAGCGCCCCAACTTCCATGCCAATTGAAGGTCCTGAAAGAGACCCCATAATTCGGTCGGTTAACTTAATTAACCTAATTAATCGAAATAAAGGATTATTTATAATTTAAAAGATTTTTTAATATTTTATTATTTTTATTAATATTTTTCATCATTTTTGGCTAAGAAGACATAAGAAATATATATAAATATAAAACATAATATTTTTTATTGAAATCGGTTGGTTCGGTTATTCCTATTTGTTTAAAAATAATGTCGAAATATGTTTAAATAGTTTGTTCGATTAAGTTATTTTAACAAATAAAGTTGACATCGAACCAATATAAACAAAATAATCAAAAATTTAAAGTAATATAAACTAATAGTAAAATAATAATTCTAAATGATCGATAGTTGAATATATTCGAGAAAATGAATAGTGAATTTTATTAGAAATTGTAAAAAACAATTGATTTTTATTATTTAATAATTTTAAAAATATTGAGTAGAGATAAGTTGAATTACATGAATTGTAAAGCTTGAGTCAAAATTTTATATCTAAATAGTACAACACCAGTGTATTACACGTGCTTGTTAAAAAATTATTCTTAAATTTTAAAATTAATAAGAAACTTATATTAAATTTAGTTTACTTTTTTACAAAGAAATATATTACTATATATTTTTGAATGATATGTGTTACTTATGACTTACATGTGTTATATTATATTAGTTTTTATAATTTATATCATATAATTACTTGAAATATAAATATATTAGTTGATAAATAATTTTATTTTTCTAATTAATATTAAAAATAATTTTATTATTGTTATAAAGATAAATATAAATTATTATTTTTTATACATATAACATGGATGTTAAATCGAAACTCATCAAAAGAAGATTAATTTGATATATTACATATGTAAAACTGATAAAAAAATACAAAAGTTATTAACTTTTAAAATATATATACAATTCAATAGTTATAATAAGGAATGATATTAAAATGCAATTAATACATGTAACATGACAATAAATAATCAACATATTTATGGTAATCCGAACCTAATTATTTTTTATTTGGAATTAAATTAAAATTTACTCAAGCCTAGTAAAGAAGCATGTAATTTTGCCACATTGGATTTCGAAGCACTAGAAGCAGCCACGTAGGCTCAGCGCGTTCTGAATTAATATATAGGTGAGGGGATTAAAAAGTAAACAAGACAAAATAAAAAAAATAAAAAATAAAAAAATCATCTTTAATCGCAGGTTAAAACGACATATTTATTATATTAACAAACGTATTGCAATTAATTTATTTATTCGAGTTTCCGATAATTTGAACTAGTACAGATCCCGTGCGATGCACGGGGTGCACAAAATTAAGGTCATTTTTCAAGTCTTATAATTATATAAATGAAAAAAAAAATATACGGGATATATATAGTAAGTGACCTGTAATATGCCAAAATGTGAACACGGGTGATGCACGGGGTGCACAATTTTAAAGTCATTTATAAGTACAGAGTCCGTGCGATGCACGGGGTACACAATTTTCTAGTATGTGTAATATAAATACATACCGTATGCACGGGACAGAAGCACTAAATGAGTTATTTCCACAGAGCTTGCCAGTTAAGTAGCTCATAAACACGGGGGCACAATTTGTAGTACGTATTATAAAATCAGAACAGATTTCCATACAATTAGATAATAAATTAGATTATAAATAAAGCCTTTTTATTTAGTAAAGATTTTTACGTATTTTTTTTACTTATCGGATATTATGAGATTTTTATTGTTAAACCGATTTGATGGGATATAATACAAATACAATTAGAGGATTGAACAAAATCAGAACATAATTCTATACAATTATAATAAGAAGAAATTAGATAAAGAATTTTGAAGCTACCTTTTTTTTTAGTATAGATAGACTTTACGTACAAATTTTGACTTCACCAATTTTATGAGATTTGTCTTAACAAAATCAAAGATGAACACTGAAAAATGTTTCTATTAACATTTACAATGTGTATTTAATGTTTTTATTTTGGCAAATTATACTTTCTAAGTGTGATATATAAATATTAAAAATACTTAAAATATTTTATAACATCTATAAAAGTATCTAAAATATTCTATATTATTCACAACCTAAATTTTTCTAAACTATCCGTAAGGAAAATATGTCTAAAAATTCGTCATTTAACCTCCATATATATATATATATATATATATATATATATATATATAGAGAGAGAGAGAGAGAGAGAGAGAGAGAGAGAGAGAGAAAATGTGTAAAAAAATTTATACAAATAATATTTAAAAGTATCTAAAATATTAGTAATTAGACATGTGAAATTTAGATTTTTTAAAAAATCTATATAGATAATGGATTTATAGTAGTAATTAGACTTTTATTTATTTACCTTTAAAAGTTGTTACGATAGATGAGTGATGTGATATTTTTACTCGTGGAGATGGAATTTTATAAGTTGGGTTGTGAAATTTCCTTAAACTCGTCCATATCTGAATTTTTTAAGCTGGTTATATAGATTTAAAATTGTAAAAAAAAAAAACTTTCATAAATCATTTGATTTGGTATTTTCGGAGAGCTTCATTAATTTAAAAGTGTAAAATAAATAAATAAATAAAGTACAACCAAAAAAAGTTACAACCAATTGTACGGATAATTAAACTAAATCTAATTTTTGTAGGATGCATTAAATATTGATTAGATTTTATATGTAAAATAAAATAAAAAATAACTGGAATAGTTTTACGTGTTGCAATATTTTATATTTAAAAAAAAAATAAAAAATCTTCTTTTACGTATTGCATACCAACATTTTAGGAACTACATGGATACTCCTAAATTAATATTGCACCTAATATTTTAGAAACTAATTAAATGCTAATTTGATTTGCATACCAAAAATATTAGATGCATTAATTAAATGCTTGATAAAAATATCAAATTATTAATTAGAGTTAGACTATTCTATATACTATATTTAGTAAATAGTATAGCTTTTAATATAAGTATAGATAATACGGAAGCCAAATTAAATGGACCTTGTTTCGTGATTTGTTAAACCAATAGAAGATTGTTGCACAAGCAAACGCCAATTGTTTAACAATATTAGCGATATGATAGCCTCTTTGCCAAGAAATGACGATTTCTCATCCACAAAAACTGGTGTGGTGGCATACAAACCAACCCTGCCAAAGACATCGATCGAGAAAATAAGTAAAAAAATAAATAAATAATGGGCATAATAAGGAGCAGCTTCTCATTCATGATGGGCACGACATTTGGTGTGTACGTAGCCCAGCATTACAACGTTCCCGACGTTCGGAAGCTTTTCGACACAACCCTTTTGATCGCCAAACACCTTGAAGCAAATTACCGCAAGCCCAAGAGACACGAGGAGGATGAATAGGGGTTGGGCGTATGTTTAGGGGGAGATTGTTTATGGATTGAACTAGTTTTTATTTGATTTTTTTTTTAATTATAGTTAATTTTTTTTTAAAAAAAAAAATATATAGTATAGTTAATTGTTAGTAGATATATTTATAAATAGTTGTTTCTGAATTGATAGTTTAATTTTTGGGAATTGAATTGATAGTTTAATTTTTGGGAATTGATTTTAGTCGTTGGATAATTAATTATTATAATTGATCAAGTTTTGTCCTCGAAATTTCTTCTATTTTTT